CCCATCTGGGGGTGATGGGAGACAGTGACAGATCATCAGGCATTAAATTCTCATAAGGAACGGGCATCCTAGATCCCTCGCTTGCGCAGTTCACAATAGGGTCCATGCTCCTATGAGAATCGAATGCTGCAGCTGATCTGATAGGAGGTGGAGCTCAAGTGGTCATGCTAGAGATGGGGATGGGGTGCGGCTGAAAATACCGATGAGGTTTCTCTCACTCACCTGCTGCTCACCTCCTGCTGTGCAGCCCCGTTCCTAACAGGCCCAATTCTTCACAGTGCTGGTCTGTGGCCCAGGGGTTGGGGACCCCTGCTTTAAATCACCTCTAGATTACTTATAATGCTAAATACAACATAAATCCTGTATAAATAGTTGTGAAACTCTATTGTTCGGGGAATAATGATAAGAAAAAAGTCTGTACATGTTCAGCACAGATGCAGTTTTTTTCTTTTCTGAATAATTTCTATCTGTGGTTGGTTGAATCCATGGATATGGAACCCATGGATGTGGAGGGCGGACTGTATAGTGAAAAGTCACTGTCTCATTCCTGTCCCTTAACCATTCAGTTCCCCTCCCATAGACAACATTTTTTTTTTTTTTTTTTTTTTTTTTTTTTTTAGACAGAGTTTTGCTCTTGTTGCCCAGACTGGAGTGCAATGGCTCGATCTCGGCTCACTGCGATGCCCACCTCCTGGGTTCAAGCAATTCTCCTGCCTCAACCTCCCGAGTAGCTGGGACTACAGGTGTGCACCACCATGCCCAGCTCATTTTTGTATTTTTAGTAGAGATGGGATTTCACCATGTTGGCCAGGCTGGTCTCAAACTCCTGACTTCAGGTGATCTGCCCGCTTCAGCCTCCCAGAGTGCTGAGATTATAGGCACGAGCCACAGTACCTGGCTGACAACCATTTTTATTTCTTGTGTATCTGTCCAGACATATTTTATGTATATACCAGCTCTATATACATATATTCCCATTTAAAAAAACACATTAATAGTAACATGTGTAAAAATACTTTTTTTTTTTTTTTTTGAGATGGAGTTTCGTTCTTGTTGCCCAGGCTGCAGTACAATGGTGCGATCTCGGCTCACCGCAACATTTGCCTCCTGGTTTCAAGCAATTATCCTGCCTCAGCCTCCTGAGTAGCTGGGATTACAGGCATGCACCACCATGGCTGGCTAATTTTGTATTTTTAGTAGAGATGGGATTTCTCCATGTTGGTCAGGCTGCTCTTGAACTCCTGACCTCAGGTAATCCGCCCACCTCAGCCTCCCAAAGTGCTGGGATTACAGGCGTGAGCCACTGTGCCCAGCTGTAAATATGCTTTTTGTAGGTTTTCCTAGTTCAGATGTAGGATCAGTCTGATGTTAGGTTCTTAGGTAAAGACCTATATAAAGAAAGTATAAAATGGTACCTAATATTACAAAGCTTTATTAGGAATGGCGAAGGGATAATATGGCAGCTTCCTCCCTGTCAGTTCTGCATTGGTCACTAAGGATCTCAAATTTCTGGATAATCTGGCTTGCTTAGTTATGATGAGAGACCAGAACTGCTGATAGCATATGAAATCTTCAGGGGAGTTTTGAATGTTTTTCATTTTTTAATCTGATATGAGGTAGCAGACATGACATTGACTCACGCGTAAGCCCCAAACATGCCGAAGCCGCGGGAGCTCTCTATCAGCCATAGCAGGCTGCTCTGGAGCCGCAGGTTCAGGCAGCTGTTGAGTGGGCCTGGGAGGCACGGAGGGAAAGGGAAGAGGGCCAGCACTGGTTTACTGTCCTGGACATAGTCATGAAATCTCATTGTCAGAGGTAACCAAGAAGTCATCTTATCCTGCTGCTGTTTTCCTTCCAGGGTCTCTTCTGCAGGGTCCCCATGACTTGTGACTGAAGCTGTGCACAAACGTCTCCAGTGACAGCAATGCCTTCTGAGGCAGCCCATTGCATCTTCATCTGCTGACACACTGTTAGGCTGACTTCTGTAGTTTTCACCACTGATCTTCAGTCCACCTCACAGAGCTCTATAAGATGCTTGGATCCTCTTTACATCATAGACTTTCAGCTACTTGAAGATAGCCATCAGCCCCTCATGAATCTTTTCTCCAGGTAAAATCTCCAGTTACAGCAGCTGGTCTTCATATGGCCGAGTGTCGAATGCCTTTGCTCTCCTGGTCATTTTTTAAATTTCTTCAGTTTGCCCATGTCTCAGAGTGTGGAGTCCAGCACTGCCTGTGTAACGTTCCCAGGATGTTCTGCCTGATATAGAGTAAGCCTGGTGTCACCCATGTCCTAGGAACTGAGACCCCGTCACTACTGGTGATGCAGTCTAGGATCAAACTGTTCTTTTGGCAGCCACTTCACATTTTTGTGTTAAGGGCTTACTGTTAGCCAAACACAATTTTTTTGTTTTTTGTTTTCTTGTTTTTTCTGAGACAGGGTCTCACTCTGTCACCTAAGCTGGAGAGTAGTGGCACGATCTTGGCTCACTGCAACCGCTGCCTCCTGGATTCAAGCAATTCTTTCACCTCAGGCTCCTGAGTAGCTGGGACCACAGGTGCGTGCCACCACACCCAGCTAATTTTTGTATTTTTAGTAGAGATGGGGTTTTGCCACGTTGGCCAGGCTGGTTTCTGACCTCAAGTGATCTGCCCACCTTGGCCTCCTGAAGTGCTGGGATTACAGGCGTGAGCCACCACACCTGGCTGACAGATTGTTGTTATCATTAATGTCATGTGAACTACCGCCAAGGGCATCTCCCCTTCCTGTTCTTGGAGGATGTGTTGGATGCTTCCTGTGCCCTTCCCTGGAGATGCTTTTGGCCCCACAGCTTCCTCCAGCCAATGTAGCAGTGACTGGGTCTGTGCAGGTTTTGGTCATCCTCACTCAGGTGTGATGGGGTGATGCCTTTCTTTGGCCTGCCCCAGGTATCTTTTACTTCCTGGGATGTATCTGATGCTATAGTATGGGATGCTGCAGAGACTTCCAGCACCAACCCCCTGGAGTTGGGCTTTATTTCACAGGTTGAGGGCACCATCCTCCACAAGAATCCCCAACTTCAGCCACCAGCTGGCAGTAGGTTTGGGGGTCCTCAGACCACCCTCACTTCTGGCCAGATGGCTACGAATTTGACGATTTCCACTACCCCCTCAGGTTTGATCATTTGTTAGAATGATTCACAGAATTCAGGGATGTACAATTACATCCCATCCCTGATGTACAACTGTACAATTACAGTTTTATTAATTGATCAATAAAGCAAAAGGATGCAAATGAATCAGTCAAAGGGAAAGACACATAGATCTGGGAGGGCACCAAACACAAAGCCTTCAGTGTTCTTCCCCGTGGAGTCAGGGGCCGTTACCTTTCCAGCACATCGACGCATGACAATGTATAGAGTATTGCCAATCAGGGACATTCTCCTGAGCTTCAGTATTCATCATTCTTATTGCGGCTGCATCGCATAGGCACAATTGATTGAATCATTGGCCATGTGACTCAAACTTTAGCACCCTCATTTTTCCAGAGGTGATCTTGTTAGCATAAACTATCTAGGGGTGCACCCTGAGTCATCTTGTTAGCATCAACTTACAGATGTGCGCCCACCATGATAACAAAGACACTCCTATCACTCTGCAAAGTCCAAGGGTTTAGAGGCTACCTTCTAGAACAGCCAAATTCATTACTATACAGATGCCCTAGGAATCTGTTGGTGTTCATACCAATGTGACCCAGAAGTGTGGGTGGCCTAACACCTGTTGAGTTATTCTTGACTAACAGGGAATGGGTACTGAAGGATACTTGTTTTCTCTTTTGTCTCCTGGGTGGACAGTTCTGACAGGCATTTGATATGGCTTCTTAGAATGTCCAGCAATGGCCGGGCACGGTGGCTCAAGCCTGTAATCCCAGCACTTTGGGAGGCCGAGACAGGTGGATCACGAGGTCAGGAGATCAAGACCATCCTGGCTAACACGGTGAAACCCTGTCTCTACTAAAAATACAAAAAATTAGCCGGGCGAGGTGGCAGGCACCTGTAGTCCCAGCCACTCGGGAGGCTGAGGCAGGAGAATGGCATGAACCCAGGAGGCGGAGCTTGCAGTGAGCCGAGATCGTGCCACCGCACTCCAGCCTGGGCGACAGAGCGAGACTCCGTCTCAAAAAAAAAAAAAAAGAATGTCCAGCAATAGCGAGCACTGGTCCCACAGTGGGAGCCCAGCTTGATAATTCATCCTTCTATTGTCTGTCCGTTCTGCCCTGTTTTACTCCCTCAGGCCCTCATTCCTGCTCCCTGGGATCACTTCCCAAAGAAAGTACCTGCACTTAAGCTTTTGTCTCAAGTTTTGCTGTAGAGAGCTAGACCTAGAATGCTGTTTATTATAGTAAACTTTACATGTTTTAAAAAACAATGTTTTGGCCAGGCGCCATGCTCATGCCTATAATGCTAGCACTTTGGGAAGCTGAGGCAGGCGGATCACCTGAGGTCAGGAGTTCAAGACAAGCCTGACAAATATGGTGAAACCCCGTCTCTACTAAAAATACAAAAATAAGCTGGGTGTGATGGTGTGCCTATATCCCAGCTAATCAGGAGGCTGAGACAGGAGAATTGCTTGAACCCGGGAGGTGGAGGTTGCAGTGAGCTGAGATCATGCCACTGCATTCCAGCCTGGGCTGCAGTGAGACTCCATCTCAAAACCAATCAATCAATCAATTAAAAAATAAAAAACATGTTTTTTTTTCCCTGATGTGGAAATTAAGTGATTATAAAATGAGACTAACTTTTTCAGTATATATTCTTGTTGTTAATATGGTACAGAGCTGTGATGCTTCTGCAAAAGGTGAGTTGAGTGTACAGCAGGCCTCCTAACTCTAGAGATGATGCATCCTTCCATATTGATTGCCTTTGTGAAGTCACACACACAAGCAGGGAGAAGCCGCGAAGATACATAAACAGCTGTGTTTTCCAGGCTCAGATCACTAATGTGCTCGTGATTTCTTTCTAGGTCTGATTTTTGTGGTTGACAGTAATGACAGAGAGCGGATTGATGAGGCCCGGGAAGTACTGACTTACTTATTAGAGGATGATGAGCTCAGAAATGCAGTTTTATTGGTATTTGCCAATAAACAGGTATGTTGTTACTGACTTTCTGAATGCTGGAACTGAAATTTACTGCCAAATGCCTCACTTACAAATGCAGACATTTAAATGAGATGTCTGCCTCCCTCTCTCCAGTCCCAAACCATAATGTCTCCCACCGTCTCCTTGCTACAATATCTTTTTCTCACTGAGACAGAGTCTGTTGCCCAGGCTGGAGTACAGTGGTGTGATCTCAGCTCACTGTGACCTCCACCTCCCAGGTTCAAGTGATTCTCCTGCCTCGGCCTCCCAAGGAACTGGGATTACAGGCATGTGCTGCCATGCCCACCGAAGTTTTGTATTTTTAATAGAGACTGGGTTTCACCATATTGGCTAGGCTGGTCTTGAATTCCTGACTTCAAGTGATCCGCCCACCTTGACCTCCCAAAGTGCTGGGATTACAGGTGTGAGCCATCGAGCATCTACTAAGTTCCAGACTTGGATTTAGGCTTAAACCAAGACAGACAAAATCCTCGTGTTCATGGAGTTTACGTTGCTAGTGGGAAGAGAGTCAACCAATAAATAAAATGTAATGTGCCAGGTGTGGTGGCTCATGCCTGTACTCCCAACACTTTGGAAGGCTGTGGCAGGGGGATCACTTGAGCCCAGGAGTTCAAGACCAGCCTGGGCAACATAGTGAAACCCCATCTCCACAAAAAAGTACAAAAATTAGCTGGATGTGGTGGCATGCACCTGTGGTCCCAGCTATTCAGGAGGCTGAGGTGGGAGGATCCCTTAAGCCTGGAAGTTCGGGGCTGCAGTGAGATGAGATTATTCCATTACACTCCATCCTGGGCTACACAGTAAAATAAATAATAATACATGTCAGATGGTAAGTGTTGTGGAAGAAGGAAAAGCATAGTAAGGGGGCAGGGTAGGTGTGGGAAAGACTGGGAATGCCTCTCTGATAAGATGACATCTGAGCAGAGACCAGAAGGCCGGGAGGAAGGGAGCCACACGGTCCTAGGAACAGCATGGCAGCCAGCGCAGCTGGAACAGAATGAGCAGGGGAGAGAGGAGATGAGATTGGATCATATAGGGCCTGCTTTGGAGGAGGAAAAGGGCTTGTACATAAATGTAAAACAGTAAAAGAAACATGGGAGGAAGACCAAGCGTAGAGCTATCCAGCCTCAGGACTCTGAGCTAAACTAAGCATGAAAAAGAAGGTAGAAAGAACCACGTGGAATTGTACCAGCCTGAGATGACCACCTTCACATTCTGACATCCTTCCTTCACTTTCTCTTCCATGAGTGCATTCATTATGTAATTGAGATCATACTGTTTTGACAATGTTGCATCTGCTTTATCACTTTAGATTTATCAAAAGCATTGTCTCTTGTTATCCAACTCTTTGTAGACATGATTTTAAATGGTCAATGGATCATCATTTGTACAACCGTTACTCCACTGTTCAGGTTCAATGTCAGTCCAGAGTTTGCACTAGTGAATATATGACTATTAAAGAAAGAAAATGAATCAGGAGTGTGTGTGTATGTGTGTGTGATTTTTTTGTTTTGTTGTGTTTTGAGACAGGGTCTTACTCTGTCGCCCAGGCTGGAGTGGAGTGGTGTGATCACAGTTCACTGCAGCCTCGAACTCCTGGGCTCAAATGATCCTTTTTCCTCAGCCTCCCAAGTAGCTGGGACTACAGGCACATGCCACCATGCCCAGCTAATTTTTTAATTTTTCTTTTTTTTTCTTTTTTTTGTTTTTTGACTCACGCCTGTAATCCCAGCACTTTGGGAGGCCGAGGCGAGCGGATCACGAGGTCAGGAGATCAAGACCATCCTGACTAACATGGTGAAACCCTATCTGTACTGAAAATACAAAAAGTTAGCTGGGCGTGTGGCGGGCGCCTGTAGTCCCAGCTACTTGGGAGGCTGAGGCAAGAGAATGGCGTGAACATGGGAGGCAGAGCTTGCAGTGAGCCGAGTTCACCCCACTGCACTCCAGCCTGGGCGACAGAGTGAGACTCCATCTCAAAAAAAAAAAAAATTTTTTTTTTTTGTAGAGCTGAGATCTTGCCATGTTGCCCAGGCTGGTCTCAAACACCTGTGCTCAAGCTGTCCTCCCACCTCAGCCCCGCAAAGTGCTGGGATTTCAGGTGTAACCTACTGTGCTTGGTGCCTTTGTTGTTTTCAATGATAAAAACAGAATGTTCTCATGGTATAAATACGCATACAGTTCAGAATATTCAAGTGAAATAGTCTAGTGCTACTCTTCATTGTTAAATTTATTCTTTCTCTTTCCAGAAATCCAACTTTCTCTGCCTGTGTAAGCAATTGTATGATTGTGTTCTTTCACTTAGCATATCTTGGAAGTCCTTCCATATCAGTACATCTACAGCTACTTTGTTCATTTGTTTGTTTGTTTGTTTGTTTGTTTATTGAGATGGAGTTTCACCCTTGTTGTCCAGTCTGGAGTGCAATGGCGCTATCTCGGCTCACCATAACTTACGCCTCCTGGGCTCAAGCAATTCTCCTGCCTCAGCCTCCCAAGTAGTTGGGATTACAGGCATGCGCCACCACTTCTGGCTAATTTTGTATTTTTAGTAGAGACAGGGTTTCTCCATGTTGGTCAGGCTGGTGTGAAACTCCCAACCTCAGGTGCTCCACCTGCCTCGGCCTCCCAAAGTGCTGGGATTACAGGTGTCAGCCACCGTGCCCGGCCTTACTTTGTTCTTTAATGCTGATTTATTCAAATTTAGTTTGAGCTTATTTTGTGCCACGCACATTTTGAGGCACTTGGGATACATCAGAGGACAAGATAGATCAAGATTCCTGCCCTCGTAAAGCTTGCATTCTAGTTAGGGGAGACAGATAGACAGTTAATAATAAATATACTTAAGTAAATGTCATGATATAGTAATGTATGGTGAGTGCCATATTGAAAAGATGGAACAGACCACTTCGGTGAGGTCTCCAGTCCAGGAGGCTTTGTAGACCGTAAGGACTCTGACTTGTATCCTGAGAGAGGGGGAGCTGTTGCAGTTTTGATAGAAGAATGATTCAATCTGATTCACTGGTGGCTTGGTTGAGAATAGGCTTCACGGGATCCAGAGCAGAGAAGTAGGGAGGCCAGTTAGGAAGTTATTTCAGTCATCCAGGTGAGAAGTGATGTGGCGTCAGGTTGGGGTGACAGCTGTGAAGTTAGTAAGTGGTCAGATTCTGGATAAATTTTGATGGTAGAGCCATTAGGAGTTCCTGACAGATTGGCTGTGACATTGAGAGAAAAAATGTTAGGACAATTTCAAGCTTTTTGACCTGAGCAACTGGAAGGTTGGGGTTGCCATCAACAGAGAAGACTGTGGGTTTGGGCACATTCAGCAGGGAAGAGCATATTTTGCTATACGGATACAACAGTATACATTGACTTTTGAATGTTCTTTTTCAAGGATCTCCCTAATACTATGAACGCGGCAGAGATAACAGACAAGCTCGGCCTCCATTCCCTCCGCTACAGAAACTGGCACATTCAGGCTACTTGTGCCACTACCAGACATGGGCTTTACGAAGGCCTGGACTGGCTCGCCAACCAGCTGCAGAACCAGAATTGACCAGAAGGATCTATTCTTTGTGCCTTGTGGCCACATCGGTTGGCCTCTGCTGCGTGCACGTGTACCTGTGTGCTGGGAGTGGAGGCAGCTTTCTCACAGTGCCTTATCCATGCCATAAGAAAAGCAGGTTACATTTTAAGAAACCCCGTGTTAAGTTTTAAACACCACCTTCCATTTCAGTAGCTTTGATGTTCATTTTTGCAGTTGATGGAGAAGTCCAGAGGGCTTGCTGGCGCTCGAAGGCCAGAGCGCGCTTCATGGTGGAAAGGAGGAGGAGAGTTGGAGTGGGAACTGAGTTCAGCTGTTGCAATCCTGGTCTGACATCTGGAGTCCTGCTAGTCTTTGGTGTCCTTTTGTAAAAAGGAAGGAATTGTCATTCTTTTTTTTTTTTTTTTTTTAAACCATATTTTTACTGTACCTTTTCATGTTTATTTTTTATTAAAAATTTTCTTTTTTTTTTTTTTTTTTGAAATAACCTCCCACTCTGTCACCCAAGCTGGAGTGCAGTGGTACGATCTCAGCTCACTGCAACCTCCGCCTCTCGGGCTCAAGCAGTCCTCCCACCTCAGCCTCCTACAGGTGTGCACACCACACCTGGGTAATTTTTGTACTTTTTGTGGAGATGGGGTCTCGCCATGTTGCCTGGGCTGGTCTCTAACTCTTGAGCTCAAGGGATCCACCCACCTCAGCCTTCCAAAGTGCTGGGATTACAGGCATGAGCCACTACGCTCCCCAGAAATCGTCATTCTTTACCATCACTGCTGGAGCTAGCAGCTCACTCTTCAGTGCTTTAAAGCAAATGATCCTCAGGAAAGAAAAGGTACTTGCTTATTGCAGGTGTGAAGAGGTTCAGATTGGTGGAACTTTTCCCTGACGCTGACCCAGAGTTCCTGATGTAAGATGCTTTATTTAAAGATATCAGTGAGCTTTTTCACTGGCATATCAAGACTTCATAACACTAGGAAGGTGTCCAGCCTTTTCCATATGCTAGTTCCTTCCCTTATTTGCCAGATGGGGACCCCGTGGGGAGGTGACCCAGTGTGAGGCCGAAGCTCTTTCCCAGAGCCCCGCAGGCCAGCGGAGGGTCGTGTTTGCGCTCTGGGCATCACCGTCTGGGGTCTCGGTCCTCTGTGACTGCAGCTCCCACATCCCTGCTCTGAGATAAATGTTCTTCCCGTGAAGCAGACGGTTCACTTTTGGGATGGCGCTATCCCCAAGTTTGGCTGTCTCAGTCCAGATGATGGTTTTGGTTAGTTTCCATTCCCAGAACCACATGCCTATGAGTTCTGAGAGTTTGTGACAGACTCAAGGGGCTAATTTGGGAGATGTGAGATTCCCAGCTACCCCTGGTATTGCCCCCAAGTTCATGGCAAATTTCGCTATGGGAAATAGCTCTTGTCAAGACCAAGCTCCACCACATTGCCTCCCTCTTTTGGATGGCCATGGCATCTCATGAACCACTTGGAAATGTGTTTTATGTTGTTCTTCAAATATTAATAAAAATGTCCTGGAGAGGAGGTTCACTAAGTGGTCTAGAGCTCGTTTATCCAGACAACTGTTGGCCACATTAGTACCTAAGCACCTCTACTACTTAACCTTTTTTTTTTTTTTTTTTTTTTTTTTTTTTTTTTTTTTTTTTTTAGATGGAGTCTTCCTGTATTGCCTTGGCTAGAGTACAGTGGCGTGATCTTGGCTCACAGCAACCTCTGCCTCCTGGTTCAAGCGATTCTCCTGCCTCAGCCTCCTGAGTAGCTGGGACTACAGGCATCTGCCACCATGCCCGGCTAATTTTTATACTTTTAGTGGAGACAAGGTTTCATCATGTTGGCCAGGCTGGTCTTGAACTCCTGACCTTGTGATCCGCCCTCCTCGGCCTCCCAAAGTGTTGGGATTACAGGCGCGAACCACCGCACCTGGCCTCCGAGAAATATTTAGATTGTACTCCTCAAATGGGCAGGGACTGTGTCTTACACTTTTGTATTTATGCTACAGTGTACCTAGTACAGTGCCAGCCCTTGTTAAATACTTACTGATTGCTCAGACAATAAAGACCTTGCTTTGGAAGGAGGAGAGGATAGCCATGTGCTTCTGAATGTCTTGAGCTTTTTGAAATCTCTTTCCCCATCCAGTTTAGCAGAGTTTCTATTGAAACTCCTAGGCTGTGTTTATGGAGGAAAAACTCAGAGGTGCTGTCCTGGCCTTAGGCCCTGGCAGTACACCTTGCTGGGACTTTTCACAGCACATCCACTACAGCCTTTCCCACACTGTGACGCTGGAGCCGGTGAGTCAGCGTAAGTGTAAGTGGGGAGCAGTTTTCAGTACAGTAGTTTTGAGGAAAGACTTGGGTCCCTGAAAGCCATGTTTGCATCCCTGCCATGTCCCTCACTGGCTGCTAGCCTCAGGCCACTGACTCTTAGTCTCTGTATCGCAGAGCCTCAGTTTGCCTAACTGTTAAATGGGGATACTGATTCCTGCCTCATAGGGTTATGAGGATTAAATGTCTCCTACCTTTGAATGTCTTGCTCTGGTGTTTCCCTGGAGATATCTTGTCCAAGTATGAACAGCAGTGCTGGCCATAAACTCATTAGCATAATAATAATAATTATTATTACTACTTTTTTTTTTGAGACAGTCTTGCTCTGTGACCCAGGCTGGAGTGCAGTGGCACAATCTCGGCTCACTGCAAGCTCTGCCTTCCGGGTTCACGCCATTCTTCTGCCTCAGCCTCCGGACTAGCTGGGACTACCGGCACCTGCCACCACGCCCAGCTAATTTTTTGTACTTTTAGTAGAGATGGGGTTTCACCGTGTCAGCCAGGATGGTCTGGATCTCCTGACTTTGTGATCCACCCACCTCAGCCTCCCAAAGTGCTGGGATTACAGGCGTGAGCCACTGCGCCTGGCCTATTATTATTATTGAGACAGAGTCTCACTCTGTTGCCCAGGCTGGAGTGCAGTGGCACAATCTCAGCTCACTACAACCTCTGCCTCCCGGGTTCAAGCGATTCTGCTTTCTCAGCCACCCGAGTAGCTGGGATTACAGGCATGCACCACCACACCTGGCTAATTTTTGTATTAGTAGTAGAGACGGGGATGTACTATGTTGGCCAGGCTGGTCTTGAACTCCTGACCTCAAGCGATCTGCCCGCCTCAGCCTTCCAAAGTGCTGGGATTACAGGCGTGAACCACTGTGCCTGGTCACTTTTAAAACATTTCTATCACCCTGAAAAGAAACCCTGTACCCTTTAGCGATCACTCCTCATTTCCCCCATCCCCCGCAGCACTGGGCAACCACTAACCACCGACCTACTTCCTATCTCAACATCTGGTGGAGATGCTTTTTAAACTTTTTTTTACTACCCTGTGGTCCGTGAGGAGCATTACACTGAGAAATTTTCTCCTGTTTTTTCATTCTCTCCATCCTCTTTTGCTCTAGTGCATGGCATGGGAAGCCCTCTCTAGGAGGATGCTGTGGTCACACAAGCACTGGACGAACAGCTGGAGTAGGCGACTTCCAAAGTGTCCTAATGTAGCTATTAGACCAACTCCTGCATTTGGCCAGTAATTAGCGTGCTGCTGCACATTGCCACTAGGTGGTGCTGCTGCTCCATCCCAACTAACCCACATGCACTCCCTGGCTAGGGTCAGCCTTGGGGGTTCCCAAGTGTAGGGGAATCCATCTCTGTGTCTATGGTAAGGGCTGGACACCAGGAGAGACCCAGAAAACAGGGATATTCCGAGAAGAGAAAGGCAAAATAAGCACTCAAAGCAGAGGACATTTGAGTGTCAATAATGAAGGTGGCAGCAGTAATCATGGATACCATTTATTAAAAATAGTGAATATTGGCCGGACATGGTGGCTCACACCTGTAATCCCAGCACTTTGGGAGACCAAGGCAGGTGGATCACTTGAGTTCGAGACCAGCGTGGCCAACATGGTGAAACTATCTACTAAAAATACGAAAATTAGCCAGGTGTGGTGGTGCATGCCTGTAGTCCCAGCTACTTGGGAGGCTGAGGCAGGAGAATCACTTGAACCTGGGAGGCGGAGACTGTAGTGAATCGAGATCGCGCCACTGCACTCCAGCCTGGGCGACAGTGCAAGACTGTCTCAAAAAAAAAAAAAGTAGATATTGTGCTAGTCACTTGATACACATCATTTCATCATTTCTGATCTTTGCACCAAGCAGGGCATGTTTATTATGTCTGCATTACAAAAGGGGAAAAATTAAGGTTCAAGAAGATAAAGTGGCCAGGCATGGTGGCACATGCCTGTAATCACAGCACTTTAAGAGGCTGAGACAGGCGGATCGCTTGAACCCAGGAGTTCAAGACCAGCCTGGGCAACATAGTGAGACCTCGTCTCTACAAAAAATAAATAAATAAATAAACAAAATTAGCTGGGTGTGGTGGTGCGTGCCTGTAGTCACAGCTCCTTGGGAGGCTGATGTGGAAGGATCACTTGAGCCCGGAAGATAGAGGCTGCAGTGAGATGAGACTGAGCCATTGTACTCAGCCTAGGCAACAGAGTGAGACCCTGTCTCAAAACAGAAATAACAAATATAAGGTGACTTGCTGGAGGCCATATGGCCGTGAGCCAAATACAGCTCTGGGGTACCAGGGCTTACATACTTCTGAGTACACCCTACTGCCTTGGAATCTGCTGAAGACCAAGCCCCTGCCCCCACGCCATGGCAGAGGAGGAGGGAAGGAAGCAAAGGTGCCCATCGGAGACACCTTGGGTGGGGGGAGGCACCCAGGGCCCAGGAAGGCCAAGCAGCATGTGGCAGGGCAGCATCAGGTGACACCCAAGAAGGAATGAGGAGAGGATAGCACAGAGTCCTGCTGTTAGGACTAAGAGCCATAGCACAGAGTCCTGCTGTTAGGTCTGCGGAGACCACGGCCCATGGGACCTGGATCTACCCTTGATGCTAATAATGTTCTTTGGGGGAGAAAACTATAATCACAAAGTTTTTGCAACTGGACCGTAGCAATGATTGCAGAGCTGTATAGATTTACTAGGAACCATCAAATTGTTCACTTACAATGGATAAATTGTACAGTACATAGGTTATCCCTCAGTAAAGCTGTATGAAATTTATAGTCAAGAAACCAATAGTGACAAGAGAGCTGAGAAAGTAGGTCTCAGCCGTGCTGTAGGCACTTTGAGAAGAGGAAGAGTAGATTTCAGGTTTATTGAAAGCCTGGCCCATGGCATCCAGCTTCTGCTTGAATACTTTCAGTGCCCGGGAGCTCAGTATCTCAAAGCAGCCCACTCCGGTTTAAGATAACTCTCGAATCCTTAGAATGTCGAAATACATCATTACCATTATTCTTATACTGCTATGAAAAATAAATGTCTTTGTTTTGCCACGTAACATTTCTCTGAGAGCTTGAGGACAGTTATTGCATTTTCCCAAGTCATTTTTATCTCAGACAGAATTCCCTGATGACCTGTAGGTTTTTTGTTTTTGTTTTTGTTTGGAGATGGAGTCTTACTGTGTTGCCCAGGCTGGAGTGCAGTGGCGCAATCTTGGCTCACTGCAGCCTCCACATCCCGAGTTCAAGCAATTCTGCCTCAGCCTCCCAAATAGCTGGGATTACAGGTGTGAGCCACCACACCTGGCTAATTTTTGTATTTTTAGTAGAGATGGAGTTTCACCACATTGGCCAGGCTAGTCTTGAACTCCTGGTTTCAGGTGATCCGCCCTCCTCGGCCTCCCAAAGTGCTGGGATTACAGGTGTAAGCCACTGCACTCGGCCCTCCCTGTATTTCTTACAGGACAAGATTTCCAGGCTCTCCCATTCTCCTGGTAGCTCTTCAGGAGCTATCCCTTTGATCTGTCCACATCCTTCTTAAAATGTGGGGACCCAATCTCAGAACCTGAGATTCTGCAGATGCCAGCCCAGTGCTGTGTGGTTAACAATTTGGATCCTAGCATTAAGACTCTGGGTTCAAATCCTTGCTCCACTGTAGGCCAGCTGTGTGACCATGGTTAAAAACATCTACCTTTCTGAGCTCTAATGTCGTCATCTAAGTTATTGTGAGGATTGTACTGACCCACACTTTCTACCTGCCCAATCCCTTGAGGTGGGCTCAACCTGTTTTGGCAATAGTTGGGCAAGGAAGAGCAATCCAAACAGCAAGCTGTCACACTGCTGCTAAGCCAAGCAGACACACAGCCACCATTAGGAGAAGGGGCTCTGCCATCTCCACCTATCAGGCTTTTCTCCCATGGAGCTGTAACCCCTGGTAAAGGAGGTGAGGAACTTGTCGGGGGGAGCACACAAACACCTGCTGATGTGCTGGACTTGGGTACCCAGGAAGTTACTGGCTTTCTCTTCCTTTCTCCAACAGTTTTGTTTGTTTGAGACAGTCTCACTCTGTCACCCGGGCTAGAGTGCAATGGCGTGATCTTGGCTCACTGCAACCTTTGCCTCCTGAGTTCAAGTGATTCTCCTGCCTCAGCCTCCTGAGTATTTGGGACGACAGGTGTGCACCACCCCACCTGGCTAATTTTTGT